CAACAATAGAAATGAGTATGAAAATAAATTTTCTCCTTTTTTTTCTTTGTGCACATGCATAATTATATTTATATGCTGTCCCATCGTCATCTATGCAGATTAGCGATCTGATGCAGCAGCTTCTTTATCATACGTAGCATATGTTTATACTAAAAGAATTTTATTCTAGTCTATTCATTTGTTTTTCTTATTTTGATTAAAAATATTGTCATCATTGTGTTAGATTTTATCTATTCAGTTCTTATGCAAATGCACTATGACATAGAACATTGTTGTGGTACCACAATAGACAAATACTTTATTGTATGGTACTATATACATTCTTTTCAATCAATCATTTCTTTCTATTCATTTGATGTTTTACTCATGGGAAGTATCAAGAGATAATAACATCATAGAATTACTATGAAATTAATTACACGGTAGAATATATGAAAATATATATAGAAAATATTCTTTCTGTTCATTTCAATTTACTTGCCTGATTGTTTGTCTTGCATTTCTTTGCATATCAATTAGATTCATAGTAAAAGAAAAAAAAAAGGAATCTGAATAAACAACAAGTATGATTTCAATAAAGTGCGAAAATGTCTAGTATGTATTATATTCAATAAAACAAAAAAAAAAAGAACATCACCAGAGCCAATGTCAATATATATATAAAATATGCACGTTTCAACCGATTCAGTTTTTTTTTTCTTTTTTAGTATATTTGTCATATTAAATTAACAAGATGACAATGTTAGGTTAATTAAATTTTTTCATATCTTCTTTTTTTTTATTCTGATTTACAAAAAAAGGATACTGAAAAATTTATTAGATGAAATGCTACTTAATCAAACAAAAGCATATGATTCATAGACAATCATATTATATTCATATTGAAATTGTGTTTTATGAGGTCTTTTCTGCATTTCTTTCGTAAAGCTTTCTATTCTTTCTCCAGGACATTTCTTTTCTAGATATTGATGGTTTAATATCCGATAAGCTTAAATGAGCTTCAAGATAAAAATAACATAAAAACCTTCTTTCTTTAGTTTTATATTCTACTCAACATGATGAGTATCAACGAGGTCGAATTCATTAACTTTAAATGAATTCTTTTTTCTTAATATATATATATATATATATATATATATCTAAATATACACCAATCTAAAAAGATTATTATTTAGTGAAGTCAAAAACATGTCTATCATTTTTTTTTAGCCTACGATGATTTGTTTATTTGTTTTTGTTCGATCCTCATCCGGTTTCTTTTCTATTGGATTTTTTTGGCTTTTATTCTTTTTAAAAATTATCATGTTTTTTTTCGACCTATGGCTTTTTCATCAAGGCTTATTAGCAAATATAGAAAATTTGAAGGAAACAATGATTGACATTAATACATACCTGACCGTCAAAATACACAGCAACATTTGGTTCGGATTTATAACGTGAATACGAGCACGGAGGAACAAGCAAATGATCACAACTATATGCAGGATATAGGTGTTGATTGTTATTATTATTATTGCTGTTCGGTGGCACCAATGATGTGCCACTATTTATAAACATCGTCGAATAATTGTGTCGTCACTTGAAGATGAGCATATGCATACGAGTCTTGAATATTTCCTGTTTCAGCTTATGAGAAAAAATGATATTGAGCACAAGGTTTTATTCGAATATTTCTACAAGGCATAACAAAACAGGATGTGAATAATATTAATTAAGCAAAAAGAAAGAAAATAAATACAAAACTCTCAACTACAGTTAGCAATTAGTTGAATGCCTTTATTTGCTTCAAATATTATAACTTCTTCTACTTTTTTCTTGCTTTGAGCATGTTTTTTTTTTTTCTACTCTTTGCTTTAACTAGTTTGATATATCACGCATGTGGTGTCATTCATTTGTTCTTCTCGGATATGAACAGTAAATCACGTTCCTATTCGCCGTATGCACTTCTATTAATGACTTTTGATGCATCATTTAAAAAAAAACCAAATTTCTAAAGAATACACAAGAGAGCATTTTCTTCATTCTGAGATTCTAACTATTCTTGAGAATGATAAAATTGCCTATTTCTATTTAGTTTCATGGTCATTGTATTACTGTCCTCATTTCTTTTTTTCTATCTATCTTATCATACCATTGTGCAACCCACTAAGACAAGTAGTTCATGAGTGTCTCGTTTGTCTTTTCTTTTGATATAAAAATCGGAAATTACGAAATAGATGGAAGTAAAAGAGAAGAAAGAAAAGAATGTCTAATGCTTTTCTTTTTCTGATATGCTATTTGTGATGCATAATCGTCTTTGATCAACTAATAAACAACACCTCTCAAATATCTTCATCCTGGACTCTATAGTATTCGTTCATAATTCAAGGATTTTGTTGTTTAGAATATTTTCTTTCATATAAATAATAATAATAGCAAAGTTCAATAATAGAGCAATTTGGCGAACTTGTTTTTCATCACTAGATTATGATGAGCGGTTCAAAAAGACTAATACCTAGAATAGAGTAGCAACAAAAAGAAGAAAAAAATATATTAGGTCATGCAAATAGAAGAAAAAACGACATATCATCATAAAATCTTTTTTTCTTTTTACTCTTCTATGAACTTCACTGTCGACAACTAAAAAAAACCTAGAGAAAAAAAAAAGAAAAAAACAAAGCAGGATAAAAAGCGCATTTTTAATTAGTGTTCAACATGAATCTGAATGGTAGCTGAAGGACAAAAATGATAATTCATTTAATATGCATGCTCTAGGTGGAGATGGACGACACCTCATATATTTTTAAAATGATTATTTTTCTTCACCATTATCATATTGCTGTCATCTTTGTAGAATAGATACATCTTTAATTACTTAACTTTGATAGTTTTAGTCCTATAGAAAAAGAATTTGTTGAGAAAAGCAAAAACCTATATTTGCTATCTCTTTCAATTTCGTAGTGGAATCAAGAATATGTCTTTTTCTATTTTTAATAACATCAACAAGTGTTAAATAAATCCGATTTTCTCGATTCTATTCGTACTATTACAAGTTTTTCCAGGAAATCCCTTTACATAATATATAGAAAAGAAAAATATTTATAGCAATCAGTTCATTTATCAATGGTAAATGTTATTAAAAAACAAACTAACCAAATTCATAAAAAAAAAACAAGAAGATATCCAGTTTTGATTCTATTCCTACATGGGAATATGAAATATATTTATACTTCTATGAAACTCAAGTATATTTTCGAAGAAAATACTAAGCATAAGTTTTAAGTCGAAGTTTTATAGATTCATCTTAGACCTTAAGTCAACCGAGGGCAATAGAAGTTAGCAACGGAAAAAAGGCGCTGAATGACAAGACTTCGAGTGTTCTAGAATATTTCAAAACTTTTATTGAAATTTAAATGTTTAGAATATGCTTGTGAATATTCTAAATAGTGCACTTTCTAATTTTTGTGTAGATAAAAATTTATATTCAAGATCTCAACAATGATGAGTAGTGTTACATCAATTTGTTACAATCATCATATGATTAACATAAAAAACGGACATTGATGAAGTTACAACTTTAGACAATAATCAAAGCTAATCGAGATATATAATAGTACGCTGAGACCTACTGCAGATATAATAGATATGTACAACAAGCTTATTTGTCAGTTACATCAATGGTTAAAATAAGAAGAAGAAAGACGGAATACGGAAAAGGAAAATCACGAGTGAATAGAACAATAAAATCCATAAAAAATAGAACATCAATGGAAAAAAAAGAAAAAAGTTGATTAGCATAGTTCCTTTGGAACTGAAATGTGGAACTCACTTTTATATTATTTTGCCTCATTATACTAATACAAAATGCGCAACGTGAAAAATTTTTCATAGACTACAATTGTTTTTCAAGGATAATCGGTTGTCAGAGAAATGATCCGTCTTATTTATGACTGCATTTCGAGCAGAATTTTTTTTTTCTATATTTTACTGACGCTCTATTTTTTGTTTGCGTCGTTTCTATTCACTTGTAATATTTCTTTTGCGTAGTATGGTTTTCTTATTATTATTCTACCCATTGATTTAACTGACAAATAAGCCTGTTTTACATATCCATTATATCTCTACAGTAGGTCTCAATACACAATTATATATCTTGATTAGCTCATAAGCATTGATATTGATTATTTCCTAAAGTCATAGCTTAATCAGTTCACGCTTTTTATGTTAATCATATGACAACGGTGGTAAATCAGTGCATCACTATTCATCATCCTTGACATCATGATTATAAATTTTTATTTGCGCAAAAATCAGAAACTGCGCTATTAGAACATCTGCTAGTATATTTTAACCATTCAAACTTTAACAAAAGCTTTGGGATGTTCTAGAATAGTTGAAGTCTTGTCGTTTAGTGCTTTTTTTCTGTTGCTAAGGAATTCTAGAGAAAGAGTCCGACATCTGTTGTCCTGGGTTACTAAGGTCTGAAGAATAGCCATAAAATCTTTGTTCGAGATACAGAAATAAATAAGAATGTTTTTTTTCTGACGATCGATTATCCTTGGAAAACAATTAAAGTCTGCTCGGAATTTTTCACTTGACGTATTTTCTATTAATCAAACTAAAGAACATATGCGAATAGCACAGTTCAGCTCCAAACGGGATTGTACTGACGAGTTTTTATCAATGAATTTTTATTTTATAAAACTAAACCTTTCATTAAAAAAGAACAAAAACAATATCTATATTTATCTTAGCTAAAATGATATATTCGAACAAGTGTTGATGATTGTAAAAAGTTATATAACATTGTTGATATCAACTGTTAATTATATCAAAAATTCCTAATTATGTTTACTTGAATTACATGTTACACAGACTAAAAAATTGGAAAAATATTGAATCACTATATTGAAAATAAACGACATTCTTTCGAATATAGAAAAAATTTCTCATATGGACAATTTAAACGTTCATATTCAGCTTTGACTTTATCCTATTGACTTAAAAGTTCTACTAATGATTTAAAAATTTGGTCGTTGATTTGGTTCATACCATAAACATGGAAGAATTAATTGATTATAAAATTGATTTGAACATTTCAAAGGTTTCTTATGAATATATCCATTAAGTACAAGTGTTCGTATTGAAGCAAAATCTTTTTCATCAGGATAAGGATCATCACCTTTTAACCATATTTCAATTAATACAATACCAAATGACTAAACATCAGATTTTATTGAATAAACTGTTTGATTATTAAGTACTTCTGCAGCTGTCCAACGACTAGGTAATTTTTTTAAATCAGTTTTTTTACGTTGTGCAAAATCATCTTTATTAACAAGTGCTGATAAACCAAAAGCAGCTATTTTAATTGTATTACCTTCAGCACTTATTAAAAGATTTCTATAAGCTAGATTTCGATGCACACGTACTCTTTGTTCAAGAAATGACATCTCACGACATATATCATATGCAAATGAAATTACAATCTTTTCATCAGGTATATTTTTAGAAGATCTCAACCAATTTTTTAAATCTCCATTTTTGATTAATTCTGTTACAATTAATATTTCATTTGTTTGAAAATCTTGTGCAACACGATATAGAGCAGCAATATAATTATTTCTTAATGTTTTCATTGTTTCAATTTCTTGAATAAAACTTTCTATTGTTGATTTATCATGTCGTAATGGATATCATTTTTTAACTACAATCGGTATTGAACAATCACCATTTTGACATAATGCACGTCATACTTCTCCAAATTCACCTTCACCTATACAATATTCAAATGTTAAATGACGTCTTGGAATATGCCATAGATCTTCTTCAAATTCAATTCGAAATGGTAATTTTATTGATAATGGTATAGTTTTTAGAACATTTTCATTATGAATAAGTTCATGAAATGATTTAAATAATATATGATTTAATTTTGATTCTTGTGCAAAATAAAAACAATGATTTAATGGATTAACACATATTAAATAATGCCAATCTTCAGCATTTCTTCGATTCAATATTAGTGCTACACTTAAAACAAATGCATTAGATTCCGTATTACTTCAACGTATAAGATAAGCACCAGGTATGTTATATTGAAATAAACATCGTTGTATAACACCTCGATCAGTACTACCTAAACGTAATGATGTTTCAGGATCAAGTTGTAAACATTTTTGATGTATTTTATATTCAATATTTGTACGTAAATGAATAACATGTAAATATTCTTCATCAATTTCCTCAATTAATTCAAATTCATTACCTTCATCATAAACAAATTGTCCTTCAATAGTTTTTGTATAACGAGCTATATAGATTGGTTTATATAATTGTACATAATTAGTTTTTTTATTGTTTATTGGTGTCAAATCTGGTGCTGATCGAGCTAATGTAAATTTAGCGTTTTTTTGTATTTTAGATTCTCTTGATGGTAAAACAAATCGAGTACAATTAATAAGTTTATTACATTCGATTCGAGCTGATGATGGGATGAATGCATGACGTTTATGAGAATTTTCTTCAAATAAAATATTACTATCATGACCCATTAGTAAATCTAAAATACCAAAACAAAATATCAGAAAGGTTTATTTTAATACAGAAAAAAAAATCATTTGCGTATGTGATTCTTACCTTGTTTAGGTTAATCAAACTTTTATACAATGGAATGGAAGGTAAGCAATTGATAAGAACTGAAAAAAAAGAAAAGAAATCTCTAGTAAGTCAATACAATGTCACTTATAAATATCTTTCTAGATCCTCTTATTTTTATCATTGTATTGTGTATATAACAAATAATTAAAATAAATGATGAAGATAACTGTCAAGGACAACGAACAAATAGCTTTATTTATATGTTTATTATAAAAAAATAAAAAAATACTAATAATTAAACCATCGACTCTTGAAGGAAGTTATGTTTTTCCAATATTTCTCTTTTGATCAATTGTAATATAACGAGTCATATATGGGCCATTTCAGGCCAACCACGACACAGTCATCTTTCATTTGACTTTGATTTTTTATCAGGATTATTTTATAGAATCAGTTCTTTTAATATAGACATATGTAAAAATGTTGGCTCTTTTAGTTGACTGTAAATTAAAATTAGTTATTTAATTAGCGAATATCTCTGTAACTATATGAGAAAAAAATTCAAAAACTTTAGAATAGACTCTACAGCACAAACTACATATATGGTCTTAAAAACTAGTTTTTTAAAGATCGTATTAAGTCCCGGAACAAAAACTTTTCTCTTATCATCATATAGAGATTCTGGAGAGGAATTTGTATCACTTGGAATTAATTTTGAACTTCTCATTTGATTATAAGAGTTATTTTTTGTTTGTAAATTCGTATTCCATCGCGTCGCTTACGCTAGATTGTTTTACTGACATCTCCTGTGAGCAAAGGTCTCTGCTGCTGATTTTTTCAGAGCATCTAGAGTAACTGAAAATACATGTAACGGAGATATACATGTTTTAATTTTGCGAACTTATGTTGCTAACGAATGATTTTGTTCATATATAGAAATTCCATTACAGAATTTCATAAGTAGTGATTTATATAAATTACAAAAATAATCCAAACAAAGATCAAAATATAAATGTTTAATAATATTAGATCTTGTTTTGTGCTCTGTTGAAAATCTAAGTGAAGCTTGTATTTGGATTTAATAAAAATTTTCTAATTCTATTGGCCTTGAGACTTAAATGAAACATGTTGTTTAAAATCATTTAACAATATTTCTTTGAGATTATGACGAAATCTTTTTCGTGTAAGAAAAGTATTAGAGTGAAAAAATTCTGCTTACTTTTGAAACAATGCAATTTTGAATTTGTAACTCTTTAAAAGAAATCGATTGACTTTAACAACTTTTTATTAAAAATTTTATTCATAACAAAAAAAAAAGACGAAAGTCGTTAACATATTTTCAGATCTTTTTTATAAACTAATCCGTATTAAATAGTTATTTCTTGAAATTTATGATGTACTGATAACACTTGAAATCAATGTTTTAATTGAATCTTTTCTAAGTTAAGCATATCATCAAGTTCTTTATTTATTCTTATCCAATATTCATTTTAATCATTGTTTCATAAATGGCTTTTTTTTATGATTAAATTGATAAATATAAATAAAAACAAATTTAATTTCACATATATATCTTTAAATATAGAAAAATATACAATATATTTGATAAAATAATCAATGCTAATAGAAGAAAAACATGTTTACTTTTTATAAATTCATCACGAAAGATACAAAAACAATCATGACAAACGTGAATATAAACTACTAGATCATCCTATATTAATACTTTGAATATGAAATAATAGTGTGGCATATCCATAAAATTTTATCAATTATTTCTAATAATAATGAGTAGATCAAAGTGTATGAATATAACCTTGATTCTTTTTCATCTCTTAATGGTCATTGCACCATTATTTTGTAAAAATGTAAAAGAATAACTCATACAATATTTATATTGATGACGTAGTAGAAAACCATCTTGAATGATATAAGTTTAAATTGCAAAATTCTACAAGAACAAGTTCAATAGCTAATCATGTATTTAATCGCATACTTGTATAATCCAAAAGTATAACAACATTAGTTTGTATTATATGACATGCAATAAAACAATAAGAAGAAGACGAAGCTTGAGTGCATTTATTATATTCTCTACACCATAGTTAATATTCATAATCACATATCAATTATTGTAATTAAACCTCCACAACAATAAAGTGTTTTGAAAAAAAAATATCATCATTTATTAAACTTATATTATTTAACAAAAAGAAAAGTTTGTAAACAATATATATTATCAATCGATGACATCAGGCATATAAAAGCTATGTTGATAGATTCAAACATAAACCTATTCAAGATTGTTGAAAATTCAGTGATTTAAGTGGAATTTACATCATGGATATTGATATGTATCATTTAGTAAATGTTGACGACCGTTTAAATAAAAATCTATACATGACACTCTGTTAGAACTTTTCACTTGATGAGACATTATTAAATATATAACAAAAATTCGACGAATAATATTTACTAAAAAAAATGTTTTTTTCTTTTATGACAATTTTGTGAAATTATTCTATTCAAAATGCAAAAGACGAATATAATATGAATTATTTTTTGAATAAATATACATAATTAAAATGAAGCAATGACATGTAAACTTATATCGATTTTATAGATTATTTAATTGATAAAAGGACGTAAACAATCTTTTTTTACAGTCGAATAAACAAAGATGAAAATATTATATGGTTTTTTTTTTCTATACTATTATACAAATATTGATAGAGAAAAGACTTTTAAATTAGATGAAATATGATTTTTTTCTATAATACAATGAAAATATTTTGCTATAAAGCAAATAGAATGAATACTCATATTTCTAAGTATAAATTCATTACTTAAATTAGTAAAATTAAAAAATACAAAAAACTTTAGTAGGAGATGTTTAAAAACTAAAATAAATTCAAATTCATTTGAAATAATATTTTGTTTCTAGACTCCATCGAAATAATAATGATTAATAAAAATATGAATAAATTGACATGCAATGTATATTTGATTTTCATAATGAGGTTTTGATTATTAAAGTACTCCCTCCCCCACATAATTTGTATGAATTTTACCTGTCTGTTTTTTTATCCATAAAAATCGAATCTTTTCTTTTTTATTTTATAGATTCAATAAATATTATGATATAATAAGAAAAACAGTAATAGATGACATAAGATTAATAATTCTGTTATTGAAACAGTAAAGCAAAAATTTGACCGATATAAGAAATATATAATTTTACGAATAGATTTATTAGTAATACGATAAAATTTATACATAACTATAATATAAATATGTTATTGACTATTAACTATTAGATGTTGCCAATTGAAATCAACTACGGTAAATTGTATTTTATTTTATTGTAGAAATAACTGATATTAAATTTTCTCTAAGTATATAAAATTTATAGAAAGATTAAATAACATCTTTTCGTTGACAATAATTTATACATCTTACTATCAAGATTCTTGTTTCTTTTTATCGATTTTTAAATATTCACTTGAAAAATACATTTTCAATGGAACTGTTTATTTTATTAGAAAGAAAAAGGAATTACATTTAATTTTAAAATGTATATAAAAAAGAAACTGATATTATTAAAAACCATTTCATGAATCTTAATAGCAGATTTTTTGAGCAACACTTTGAAAATGGGATTAAGCTTCTTTTTTTTTCTTGACATCAAAAAATAGGATTATACTTAACATGAGTTTGACATTGTCCTATAACTATTTAAAGATAATTTGTAAGAAAGTTAATATTTATTTATAAATTAAAGACAAGAAATTTTTCTTTGTTTTTTTTTGTTTTTCTTGGAAAAAAAAGTAACCAAACATATGGACGTATCTCGTTAATAATATTATTGTCTTTAAAAAGTCAAAGAAAAAAGAAACCAAAGTCATTAGATATTTACCATCGAGTAGATTCCGACAGTTTGGCATTTTTTTATCATACTTTCTCTTTCTGTCAAATATCTTTATAGAATTCCTTTTTCCCCTTCATTTCTATAAACCAAATGTCATAGAACAGGAAAACACAATAGATCGCCCCCTCACCAAATAATAGTCATTCATCAAAATAAACCATATTGTCTACAAAATGAGCATCTACAATAAAGTAATCATAAACATCTATGCTTTTTATGTTGCAAAAAATAAAATCGATGTTTTTCATCGTTGACATGCGTTAAACTAATGCTTTTATTGTGGTGTCTATGTGTGGCTGTTGTATTTTGTCCATCGATGTTTTTTTTCTTCTCTATTTACTTAAAATGTGCACGAGAGAAAAAAATAATAAATCAAGAATTCGTTAAATTTTTATGTATATCTAATGTATTTATTTTATTTCCATTGATTGATAGATCTAATATAGAATAGTATAAAATAGAACATATTTCAAGTATATATAAATTTTTTGTTTTTTCTTGATTTAAAAATTGGAGAAATGCATAGTCAAAAATAAACATAAAGAAAAAGATTTTAAATCAATTTTTCTTTTTCCGTCCTTTTTATTTATTTCACTCTCTCAACGGACAATGGTTTTATTGGAAGGTGGGTAGTTGAATGTGGGAGTGAAATAAGGAATATCAACAAAAAAAATAGAGCGAAAAAAATAGAATTCAGAAAAGTGCATGCTCATAATACTGCTCTTCATTCAAACAGTGCGTGATTGACAGGAAGTTGAAGTGACCTATCATTACAAACATCTATACACAAAGAAACGTAAATGATAGGTAATATATATTATAATAGTATTGTAGTCATAGAGAACTTTATAGAATACTTGGGTTGAAATTATTTTATTGAAAATACAAACATATATTTTTATCTTTTTGTTATTAGTTGAGATAACTGTTATGTTATAGAATATCTTTTGTTGAAATGTACGATTGTGTAAGAAAGCTCGTTTTCATAATATTTTTTTTTTATGGTAATATAAAATATTCTATTGC